TGACAGTTAAAGGTCAAAGGTCAAGTCTTTCTTGTGTAGTGTTTTTTTTTCCTAATAGTGAATAATAGATGGAACTGAACATCCAGTATTATTTGTTGATCCAGGGAATGTCTACTTCGACACTCAGTCAAGTGAACCAGCTTATGAACCTTGGAGGAATTGTTGGGGAGCTTGGTTTTATATATATATAATTTTTTTTTCATCAATATCAGTAAATGTGGATAGGTCTTTAAGCACACGTTTTGCCACTGCACATTTACGATTAAAAATTTTTTTATAGGGCTAACTTGAATAATGAACTAAAATCATATTACTGTTAATATGTGCCATGTCTGTAGATAAAAGAAGTACATTTTTCATAATTAAAATGTATTAGAAACTAACCTAAATAATGTTGACAAATTCACAGATTCTTGTATTTTAGGGGCTCAGGATAAAAGAGATCCAAGGGATTTTGCTCTGTGGAAAGCATCCAAACCACCTGGGTGGCACATTTAATTTTCTACGATTGCTAGGTATTTGCTCTGTTCAACCAAATATCACTGTATCATTGCTTTGATGTTGTGTCTGATTTTGAATGGATGTCAATGGTACATTTACTATATTTAATGGTGTATACATAGTTTAAGGCAGTAGCTTGAAGAAATGTATCCACTGTTCATACAGAATCACAACATAATGGAGGTTTGCCCCATTATAAGTTCAGTCAATTTTCAGTAGGTCTTTAAGCCCTGTTTGGACAGTAATTATTTGTCATGTGGATGTATAGGTAATTTCAACATTAGTCAGTGATTTTACTGCTGTCCAAATCCAGAATGTCTGTTTTTTTTTATTCTGCCTAAATTCTGCGAGACCTATAGTCTATTTTTTTTTTACATCAAAGTTGGTGTGGTAATTTATTGCTGTGTAATTGCTGAATACATCTCTTAATCCAAAAGTGGTTTTGTAAAGCCTTTTTGACCACTGCTATGCCCTTTACAATAACTGTTGTACTTTCTGGTGCATGCATTATCAATATGGAGACTTTTATTTCTGAAATGTTGAAAGCTGTTTTTAAGAATTATTGATGTATTCACATATCCACGTAAATTCATGTGAACTTTTGAAACGAGCCTTTGTGACAGCAGGTGTTTTTTTTTTTTTTTTTATATTATTTATATAAATTAGGGCTTGCATGACTGATTATTTTACTAGTTGACCAAATAGTTTGCCTTATGTAAATAAAAGTTTTTTTTCTGCTAATTTTCACATTTTTAATATAACATTATTTTGAGAGACAAAATGTAAGAAAACCATTTAAACCAACAATTTTCCTATTTTTAAATTGGATATTGAAATGAATAAATAATAAACAAATAGGATTATTTTCATATAATTAAATTTGTCATCGTGTTGAGAGTGACTGACCACGTGAGATGTGCGTTTCCAGGTTCGTAGGATCACAGACAGAACGCCGTCCTCCACCATGAATAAATAGTTATCTGAATGCTTGAGTTTTATAACCGAGGAGCCATGCAAATATATATTTACAGATGTAGGTATAAAAAAAGTGTGAAGCTCTTTTTGTATGGTTGAGGAATGGATAGCAGATGTAGCAATGTTGGCCATTTATTAAAGGCGACAGACATGTACATGTTTCATACCACTTTTGAATGTATTATAAAATCTTACCCCACTAAAAAATATGGAACAGAATCATATTATGCAATGGCAACATCCATAAACACTTGTTTGCTCTTATCTGCAGTTCAGTGTTTGGAAGCCAGTTGGACATCCACTCTGGAGGAATTGACCTTGCCTTCACACATCATGAGAATGAGATTGCCCAGTCTGAGGCGTATCATCAGTGTGAAAAATGGGGAAACTACTTCCTGCACTCAATGCCCTTAGTCTTCTGGTTTAAGTAGTATACAGAGGCGGACAGTAACTAAGTACATTTACTTGAGTATTGTACTTAAGTACACTTTTTGAGTATCTGTACTTTACTTGAGTATTATTTTTTCTGGGAACTTATGACTTTAACTTCACTACATTTGAAAGACAAATATTGTACTTTTCACTCCACTACATTTCTATCAAGGTCCTCGAAGTAGAAAGTCGTTACAGTGTGACCAGCAGTATCTGTACTTTCACTCAAGTAATGGAGTTGAGTACTTTGTCCGCCTCTGGTAGTATATTGGTAGTAATATGTTAGGGCACATATTGTAACATAGGATCTGTGAAAATTTAGTTTTATTGATGCAAGTTCTTGGAAAAAAATGTAATAAAAACTAAATTTTTTTCAAGGGCACCTTCATCTGAAAGGAAGTGTAGAGAAAATGTCAATATCCTTGAAGAATTATGTAACTATAAAGGTAACAAGTTATATTGATATATAAGTGTAAAATTATGTTATATTATTAATACATAATCATGTTTTTTAAATCTAGCTCTCTCAATAATCTAGGATTTTCTGGAATCTTACACTGCTAATGAGTTTCGACTTTTTTCCCTTCTGACCAGATACAGATCAGGTATGTGTTACATGCTGAAAAAGACTCCTGAAAGTAATACTCCTGCAGTTTTGAGTAAGGGCAGATATTTTACATTCACTGTGGGGTCTTTTAAACTTTCCAGCAATCGACTATAGTGATGCTAGCATGAATGAAGCCTGATCTAATCTGTCCACCATCTCTGCCTTCTGCCACAATGCACAGGCCTACATGCAGGGCCACTTACTGTGCCAGCCTATAGAGGAGGGAATTCTCTGGGAGAGGTAAAGACAGATCACATTCAGGGTCTAATATATGTTTTGAACAGCAGAATGACATGAATAAGGTAGCATGCAGAGACTGATAAATGAGCTGTGTGTCATGCAAAGGAGTATATATCAGTATGGTTGCAAGTGTTATTCACAGCTATAGTGAGAATAGAAAAGGGGATTGACTCTATGAACAGAACAATTATAGAATCCCACCTCATAGTAAATACGTTTATAATTCCTAAACATTTGACTGTGTGAGCGTAACCTAGAAGAGCTGATAATGAGCATGCCTTTGTCTCCATCTCCTTTTCATCTCCGCTGTGTTTGGTCAAGGTTGTCTGCTACACAGTCCAGTGTTCGGAAAGCACCCGCTGATGATTTTGACACCCCAAAAGCTGTGGATGCCATTATGAGCCTCATTCACCATGGCAACTGTCAGCTTCAGCCTGCTACTAAGGTAACATCATAGGGTAGGTCACTGAGACCTCACATTCTTGTCATACAAAATTGTACATCTTAAATTGTACATCTTTAAATAGATATTTTATGTTTAAATTTATATTTATTAGTCATAGATTAAAAAAAAGTATTTTTGTGTTTGAAGGTTGATGGGCCGAGGTGTCCTGCTGTATTTGGAGCCATGTTGTCCTATGTCAGGGAAATCTTGGGTGTTTTTGGAGTTGATCTATTGGACAGAAAGGTGAGAGATCAAACATGTTAAAAACTTCACCTAATCCTAGTCTTATTTAATGTTCAGTAATGTACAGAGGCAGGACTGCCTGCTTGACCGAACAGTGGTGCATGAGGGAAATATTCCTGAAACCCATTTTGAAATGGTCATTATTAGCATTTCCACTCTGTGGCACAGGAATTTCACAAAGCAGCTTTAAGGATGGATGAATAGATTGAAGGAAGGAAATAAATTAAGGAATTGGACTCTTGAAACTGCTGATTTGAACAAGGAAATAGAGTGGATTAGCATCATAGTCGCGATCTCAACTATTATTTCCCCCCCTCCTTTTGATGTTACAAAGTGAAAAATGTGCAGAACATTTTTGTTGTTTTTCTTTGTATTTGTGAAAATATAATTGGACCCACAACTAAAACCTGGTTACTGTGCATTCTTATTAATTTTTATTGTGCATTCATATCTTTTGACTAAAAAGTGTAAAGAGGTTTAATTATTTGTGTATGTAACCGGTGGCTTTCTTTTTGAGCTCATTTGGGTTTATCTAAATTAAAATTTTGACGGAGTTACTCCCGTTTGGCGCCCAAACTTTCTTTTAAAAAGGGGAAAAAAAGTTTGTTTGTGTTTTGGGCAACCACCACTGTTACAACCATTTATATTCAAATACATACCTGTATAAAATAAAATCTCTTTATTTTATAAAATATCTAATTTATGTTAGGATTAAGTAATATAAGACATAGGGCTATTCCTTTCCTTCTGAACAACATCAGTGAATTTTGGAACTGCCATTATACAAACTCTCACGTGTTGATTGAAATCTGTAATATGTCCTTATATATTTTACTACTTACATGACCATGCAGAGCAATCGTCAGACTCCTGTGCATTGCCTGTGAGCACTAACCATGTTTAACAGTTGGCAATAGATATTGTTGATTGCAATCTACTTTGGCATTCAATAATAATTTATGTAATGTTCTGATATAGGAAATACTTCAGTAAATTAATGGGCACTTGGGGCACCAAGATTTAATGTTATCATTTCTATATTCTCTTATAATTTTTGCCCATACATTGAAAGTGTATGCAACCAAAATGTTCTTTAAAAAATACATAAGTCATAAAAGTAATGGAATCGAGTCAAGACTTATGGAGTGACACAATCACTTTATATGTTGAACAGATTTAAAAGGGACATAACACACAGTTTCTGACAATCTCATGTTAATCTTGAGTACCTATAGAGTAGTATTGCATCCTTCATATCTCCGAAGAGTCTTTAGTTTGATCAGATTTATAAAAGAATGATATAGCTTTAAGCTTTTCTGCCATGGGCAGAGCTAAAGAGTCACAAGCACGCGAAGCTTTTGCGTAGTGATCTGATCGTCTGCAAGCTGTGACATTATGTCATAATGTTTTATGATGGATGGATGCAGTTTTTTAGGCTTTAAAAACAGGGGCACCCTGTGCCTTTATACAGCTTGGGAGAGCCAGGACAATTTTAAATATAACTGCGATTGTGTTCGTCTGAAAGAGGAATGTAAGATACGCCTAGGATGCCCTGAGGTTGAGTAAATCATTGGCTAATTTTCATTTTTGGGTGAACTATCCCTTTAACAGCAATATGGATTTTGTGATTAATGGAGACACAAGTTGTTCAGAACACTACTTGATTACATATGAGGATGACGAATGTTTAGGAGTATGTCAAGGCCAATCATGATGTCACAATTCTCCGATTTGAAATCCGGGTGTTTCAGAAGGGTAGAAAAAATAATTCATATTTTAAAGAGAGATAGTTTTGAGTTTTGAAATTTGCAGTTTTTATTGTAGAGTAACCTGTTATATTGGTAAATATCAAGAACGAAATGACCAAAATATTTTCTTCCTTGTAGGCATTGACATCCTTTTTCTTCATAAAATTAAATAACTGCAACATTTGAAATCCTTTTTTACTCTGTGTTCCTTAAGAAGTCCATGATTCCTCTGGAGTTTTAAATAATGTGGTGGAGGAGTTGGTGTACTTTTGAAGTAAGGTTCGTAAATTTGCTCTTTTTGGGGAAGATGACGCTTCACAAAATCCCCAGACTGGCCCTGAAATTCAGAAAAGGCATCCACAGCGAGACAGAGTGCCCTTGCTGAAGGCCTGTGATGCCTTAAGGAATAATCTAGCACCCCTTGGAGTCCACATTAAGGTAAGATTTCTTCCTATTAGACTAAGTGCAGCAGAGCGTTTAAAGGAAAATTCATGGTTATTATTTAAGCATGGTACACTGTAAAAAAAAATTTATTTTCAAAAACTCAAAAGGCATAATTAAGAAGTAAATAGAGTTCCTGAGATTTCTTAAAAGTCACCAAACTATATTTATCTACCCATAATGCACATTTTCCTTTGCATATGTATTGATCCCTTGAACTCTTATAAGCCCTTACGAAAAATAAGTTTATTCAAGTGTGCTATTAGTATACTTCTTTTAAACAAAAAAATAGGAAAGTATACTTTTAGTCTACTTTTTATGTACTTCTCAGAAATTAGCTTTATGTACTTCTCAGAAAGATACTTAAAATTACATGTAAGTATACTTGACTTATAGCCTACTTAGAAAAAGTCTAAATATATTTGAGCTATACTTGTGTTCCTAGAATCCGTGTTTTCATTGTTATACAGTTGGGGTCGCTAGTACATTTTCTGTACAGAATTTCCAAAAAACACAAGTGAAGAAGAAAACCGAAACAACAGATGCTTCCACATGTATTCTAACACGATCGTCAGACATAAAACAGCATGAAAACTGTGTAAAGTTGATATAATGTCGACCAATGAAGAGGTAATAATGACTGTCAAGCTTTGGGGTGTTGATCGACTCTATCTACGTTTTGATTATCGTTCTGAATCCAATTCATAGTCTTTTTTCAGCTTTTTGTTCAAAATGTTGTTTAATTTATTTTTTTTATTATTATTTATGAAACTTATCCACATTCAAATGTTTAAAAAAAGAATGCATGAAGCTAGAATAAAATGTTTTTGTTTACAAGCAGATACCCTTTTCTTTCTTTTGGTGTTTTGTATGTTCAGATATTTATATAACAAAATATATACAAAATAATACCTAAATAGGGACATAGTAGTATACTTAAAGTATTATGTAAAGTTCACTTAAAGAAAACTTATGAGTATACTTGCAGTATAAAACTACTAAACTAGTAGTTTACTAAGACTATACTTCAAAGTGTACTAAAAGTGCTACAAGTATTTAAATAGAAAACTATCAGTATTCATATAAGTTCACTTTTAGTATAGTTGCAGTACAAGCTAAAATATTGTTGTAAACTGTTGTGTACCTAAATTTTACCACTGTTATACTTAAAGTATACTTAAAAGTATACTTTTATATACTAGAAAGTGGGCCGATTTAGTCCCAAGGAGTATTGAAATAGTACACTTACAAGTATACTACTAGTACACTGATATTTGTATACTTGCTACATAAAGTATACTTAAAAATATACTTGAACTTTACTTAATAAAATAAACTTGTAGTATACTACTTTTTGGTAAGGGAGAACAAAATGTCAGTATAAAAAATAAAATGTCAGTATAAATAATAAAAAATTGTCATAATATTCATCATGAACTGGTGCAAATCAAAAGTCTGGTAAGTAGACATTGTTGTAGGCTAATGTAATATTCCTAAATAAAACAAAAATAAATAGGATGGGAACAATAAAGATTAAAGTACAAGATCCAATTTTGTCAAAAAATGTTTTAGTCAAAAATGTCTTGTTTTGACGACATTTGCACTTTAAATCTGGACTTTTTTGCATTGTGCCATTGATCTTGAGTTTCCCGTTTTCGTCATTGCTAGAAGGGAACTTAAAGTGGGAGCAGAGCGATGTTTTTTTAAAAGGACCGGCGTTATGTCCATGTTTAGGCACGAACAAGTCCATTTCAACCCACCTAAATCGCCCAGAAGACCTGCTGAGATCGGCTCCTTATAAAGTGTTTCTACAATACGAGCCACGAGTAACAACTTCCAAAGGAACTTCAACGGCGCACATTCCTTATGAATCGCGAAGTTGGAAGTCTATAATTTTGAGATATTCGTTTCATCACTGAGTCTTCAACCTTAAACCCATGCCTGGTTCTGGGAAAATGAGAAAGCCCGATATTAAAATCGTAATCTTAGGAGACATGAATGTAGGGAAAACGTCCCTGCTGCACAGGTACTCAGAGAGAAGCTTTAAGGACACTTTAAGCACAATCGGCGGAGCGTTCTTCTTGAAGCAGTGGGGTCCGTATAACATCTCTATCTGGGATACAGCGGGTGAGATTGATGGATGTCAGTTCAAATGTTTCAATTTGATTGTTTAGGCCAATACAACAACAGAGGCATCAGATGCAGACACCTGCAGTTAAAAGTGCTTATGGAAAACATTAAATTGAAATGTAAAGTTATTGTTTCTAGAGAGACTATAAAAAATAATAATCGCTATAAATATAGGTACATTTACGGTTTCATATATATATATATATATATATATATATATATATATATATATATATATATATATATATATATATATATATATATGCCATTATAATTTCGTAATATAGTTCGTGATTTTTAGAACGTGATATTTAGACTGGGGCAAGTGTTATCCACATGTTATGTTGAAATAAAGTGACAAGCCTTGTTGTTGAAATCAAGTGATTTCAACATCAAGGCTTGTCCCCCCTTTTTATCTTTTGCGTTTTAAAAGCAGTAAGTGAAACGAGAAAAGGGAAAGGATTACTCTTGACAGTGCATCGATGACTCCAGTTGTCTCTTGTTCTTTGCAAGATGTTGCAATCTTGGTAGTTTCAGCAATAAATGTGGACATTTTTCAGGGAATTTTAATAGTAATTGATAGGAAGCTTGTATTTGTGCACATTGCAGAATGCAAGCAACAGATCCAAATGTTGCATCAAATTTTTTAAATTGTTTAAAAAAGGCGTTAAAGATTAAGGCAAAAGGATATTTGACTGTTCTGGTCTTTATCTAAACAAGTCGATGAGGGTAACACGTTTTTGTAGCTGTGATAGCATGGCTCAGCTGATAGTAATGACTTTACATCCTGTCAGAACTGGCTGCATTGTTAGCTGTTGCTGTAGCTCATTGATTTTTTGAGGTTGTTTTCACATATTGCGCATTGCACACATCTCATTTTAACTGACAAGGAAAACAAACAACAGCTTATTTTTTGACACTAAAATTAATGTTTAAAATTGTCATTAAATTTAGATGTATTTTTAATTGTCATTAAATTTAATTGAAAGCATAAAATAATATGCGAAATTGTTGGTATTTAGCTATTTTAGTTATTTAGAAGGAGTACTCTCTTCCTCAATTTAAAATTGAATAATTGTACTGAACGTATTTAACCCCTTTTATTACTATGTGTGTGGAGCCCATCCCCTATTATAACCCCTCTTAAACTCCATTTATTACTACATGATAAACTTACTGCGGTTGAAAAACGTATTTAAAAAAGGAACTACTAATTTAATTTATCTGTGTCTTTGTTTAATTTGTCTTATTGTTTGTTATTTGCTTCTTTATTCTTATTTTTAATGACAAAAATAAAATAAATTAACAAAAAGAACTATATCAACAAATATAGCATTATTGTGAAATAACATTTCTAATACCGTGAATTAAGATTCTGATAATATTGCCCACTCCTACCCTTTATGCCAACCCATTTTTCACATATGATTTGTAGAAACAAAAATGACATCAGTCATTTAAAAGCAGAAATATGAAGCATAGTAAAGAGGTAGTTTGCCCAAAAATGAAAGTTCTATCATAATTTACTCAAGCACAAATGGTTTTCTTTGTTCTGTGAAACACAAAAATTAAGCGTTAATATTACAATCATATGACATTTTCACATTGCTCTTTTCCATAGAATGAAATTTTCCATAGAATGAAAGTGATCAGTCTTCTGAAGCCATAGTTGTGTGAAATTTCACAGCTGAATGTGCACTCCCTCAAAAATTTCCAGTGACCCCATAAACATGTTCAGAAGAAATCATGACCTTGAGATGGGGTTGAAAAAGGAACAGTATTTGATTTAATTGTTAGTGTGCTAAATGAATGGACTGACCTCAATGTTCTTACTTCATTAAAGAAATAGGTTACCCAAACATGAAAATGTTGCCATTATTTACCTACTCTTATGTTGTGTGAAACGCATATGCTGTCTTTTTTTTTTTTTTTTTTTTTTTGCATGTCACACAAATAAGAATTTTAAAGAGTTACAGATTGGACTGATCTGGTTCTTGATTTTAATTTACTGACTCAGTGATCCTGTCACAACAGTTCTCGAGTTGACAGGTCATTGGAGGGCAAGATTACTGAATAACAATTTAAAGCTGCAGTCCGTAAATTTTGCCTCTTTGTCGCCATCTCTGCTTGAAAACCTGCATTTGCAGCTGTTTGCGGAATTATCTTCCTTGCGCATGTTGTACTCTAGTGCGGATGAATCTAATGTTTTGAGGAGTATGTGTGGCAGTCAGTCACCGCACCGGTGTGGATATTTACTGTACTTCGCAATCATAGATTCTAGCCTACATCTTGGAATATATGACCTAAATAAGCATTTTCACTGGATATTGTCATCGGAACAAGTAACAAGTCAGCCACGTTTGTTCTGACCAACTGAGGAAAACAGCATTACCATAAATCTCGCTACCAATGGTGATTAAATCTAAAGATCGGTTAGCTCATATCACATCAAACCGTTCAAATTATTATTATTGTTGTTATACTTTACTCTTAAATTATTAATGTTAACAACATCAGCATTGGTGACTATGAGTATAGTGTGTATTAGCGTGTAGATTTCAATTTCTGCACAGTCTAATCGAATTGTAATACTCTTCGAATTTCATAATAAGAAATTATTTTAACCCAAAAAGCTAATTATGCTCCCTTCGAACTGGTTGTCTTTAAAATACAAATCTTTTGTAATCCCAGGCTATCTGATATCAGAAGCACATTTATAACTGGAATATAATTTAATTTCATTCACATGTGTTTCATAAACATAATCCTTTCTGGATTACAATCCACCATCAAAATGATACATTTAATTATTCTGGGTGCTGTGAGAAAAAGCTATAAACGATCCGTCACCTGCAGGATCCTCACATGCGATAGCCTAGTAGACGGGACAACTTCTTTATGTTTACAGAAGTGACGTAATGAAGCGGCAGCATGCTCGAATTTTAATCTTAGCCGTACCACTCAAATTAGAAAACATTATTATAAGCTAACCGTTGTGAATCGGGCTAAAGTAAGACGATAATTTTGAACTCTGACTGGTTATGTACTTGCTCAAATATTGATTTCGGATCATTTTTAACCAAAAAAAGTTACAGACTGCAGCTTTAAATTTCATCATGTTTTCTGTCTGCTTTTATGGTGTTTTTTTTCTTCCAGAGCTTGGCAGGACACTATGAACAGTCACTGTATACAATTACTCCCCCCCCCAAAAAACAACAACATCAACATCAAAAAACAACAACAAAAAATAGTAACAGGAATTCTCGAAAATATATCAAATAAATTATATAACTTTTAACTTTTTATGTGAATATATTGCTAAATGTAATTTATTCCAGTGATGCAAAGCTGAGTTTTCAGCAACCTTTACTCCAGTCTTCAGTGTCACATGATCCTTCAGAAATTATTCTAATATGTTGATTTGCTGCTCAGGAAACATTTTCTTATTATTTTCAATGTTGAAAACAGTTGTGCTGCTTCATATTTTTGAGGAAACCACAATGCACTACAATTAAAAGGTTTTGTGTTTTAAAAGATTTTATTATATATTTAATTATATATATAAAAAAAAATATTTTATCAGATGCATTAAATTCATCAAAAGTGACAGTAAAGACATTTATAAGATTTCTTTTTCAAATGCTGTTTGTATGAACTTGCTATTTATCAAACAATCCTGAAAAAAAAAATTTCCACAAAAATGTGAAGCAGCACAGCTGGTTGCAACATTCATCATAATAATGAATGTTTTTTGAGCAGAAAATCAGCATATTAGAATAATTTCTGGAGGACACTGAAGACTAAAGCAATGGCTGCTGAAATTCAGCTTTGCATCACATGAATAAATTACATAAATAATAATAATAATAATAATAATAATAGTAATAAATATAAAAAACAGTTCAATTATAAAATATTTTGCTGTATTGTTTTTATTTTATTTTTGATCAAATAATTTCAGCCTTGTTGAGCAGAAGAGACTTCGATCAAAAATGTAAAAAAGTTCAAACTTTTGAAATGTTGTCAGTTTTTAATATTTCTGTGCTTCTTATTTCATCAGGTCGTGAACAGTTCCATGGTCTAGGCTCCATGTATTGTCGTGGCGCTGCAGCCATCATTCTCACGTATGATGTCACAAACTGGCAGAGCTTTGTAGAGCTTGAAGATCGCTTCCTCTCTCTCTCTGACTCAGCCAATAGTGACAGCATATTTGCCATTGTGGGCAACAAAGCAGACCTCACTGACCCTAAAGCCCATGTTATGACCCTAGAGAAAGTCAGAGCAGAAGAGGGTAGCGTGCTTCCCCTTCCATCCTTTCCCACAACTCCAGACTTTCCCTTGCACAAACAGGTGAGTCAGGATGATGCTACAGCACTGTACAACCGCATAATTCGCTATAAGGCACTAGAGGGCACCAGCCCACCAGCAGAAAAGATGTGCTTTGAGACAAGTGCTAAGACTGGATTTAATGTAGATGTTATGTTTGAGACACTCTTTGATATGGTGTTGCCATCCATCATTCAAAAACACTCCCAAAGCGATTCGCCGATATTGTATTTGGAGGACTATAATGAAGAGGGGATGAAGAGCAAAGGAGATTGTTGCACATGAAAGCATTTGCTGAAGAGCATCTGGGGTCTTGCATGAATATCTTTTTACTTATGGACACTGTTATTTGATCTGTTAGTTTACTGTCACAGTAAATATTGTACATTGTCACAGTGAACAAGTGCACATTATCTCTGTTCTGACTCATATTAGGTGTGTGCGTTTTGTACCAAGCATATTTTTTTTATCTTTTCTAAAATATTTTATTTTGAATTAATTTACTGTTATTACATGATAAAAATGAATGTTTAGAATATTTAATGACCTGTGGTTTATAAATACAATTTTCTTTCATTCAGCAACAGAGTTTGATTTACATTTTTTAATAGATTTGTTTTTGTAAGTTGATCAATTATTTCCCACTTTCAAAATGCATTCAAAATTGAGTCATCCTTGTTTTTTTTTGTTTGTTTTTTTAAATGCAAAAATGTTACTACAACATCTCACCGCTAGGGGTCGCTTTAGACTGAGAAAACGCTTTACACTGTTAGTATAACAGGCGTAGTGTATTGTAATTAAAAAAGCAACACCAGTTGCAGAATAGAACACATTGAATTGGCAATAGAAATACTGGCTTCTGCAATTATGGCACACAAAGACAATTGTAACTAGTAGCCAATGCTGTATGCCCTTTAATTAACTGGTGTTTTTCCACATTGCAATGGGATGCTATTCAGTTGTGGTTTTAATTAGTGTATATCTGGTCACCTCTAACAACATGAAGAGAGTTTTACTGAAGTGTATCATTGCTTCTGGAATAGTATTTCCACTGCTCGTATTATTTTCAGCTAAAACCTGTGAAGATAAAACAAGACAAAACTGTCAACCTGTTATCCTGACAGGGCGTGATCCTTGCTTTTGCCGAGAAAGCAGAAGGCAGTGTGCACAATTGCAGAAAACAAACCTGTCAGCATGTCCTTTTGGCTTATATGAGAGAATAACAAAAGATTAATAAGTAGTGTTGAGTGTCATATTCATATGTAATTCCATAAATGCAGCAGCGTGTTTAGGCACCTTGCAAACCATGCAACCCACGGGACTGGCCCCCAAAATGCTAAACACATCTCTGCGTAAATGTCTCATCAGCCACAGTACATTTGCAACTATCATATATTTACCCTAACATTTCCAAAAGAATTGTGGTGTTTTAGTCTCTGGGTTTGTCTTTTGCTCCTCCCTAGATTCATCAATATAACATTTGCCCTGAATTAAATTTGTAACATATGCACACGCACACACACACACACACACACACACCTCATATTAGAATCAAATTCATATTGCATGTAAGTCCTTGGGGGGGGGGAAAAAAGTCTAATTTATTGTTTCGAATGTATATGACATTAGACGATCATAATTCAAAGCAATGTGACAATATTGCAATATAATGGTATTCATTTCCTAGTTATAATATACAGTCATGGCCAAAAGACATACATTTTGTGTTTTGCAAAGTTTGCTGCTTAAACTGTTGTGGTTTTCATTCACATTGTTTCTAGATTATTGAGTAGAGTGATCAGATGCATTTTAAATAATGGCTAAAAGCAGTGGTGTAGTGGTGCCTGTAGAAGTGGGTATACTCTTAATTTATGCCCCCATTTTTTTAAGCGGCCCAGCAAAGGTTGAACTGCCTGTGTTATAAACAGTGACGTAAGACTAGTCTTGCATATTTAGTTCACCCCAAAATGGGCCTTTAGTATTTGCACATTTTCACTTACTGTAACTTCTGCTACTTGACTTCACGGAGTAAGGATCATTATTAAATTAATATTAGCCACAAAAGAGGTGCAGATTTTGCAATAAACAATTAAAATGTAAAAATTACATAGACTGCAACAATTAATATTTTGTCAGAACCTCTAGTAGACAAGATGTTTTGTTTAGTTATCTGTTGGAGGATCATGATCTCTATTTGATACAACAACAAAAAAAAAAATTATGGAGGTGACTCCAAGCAGGGACACAATTTCAGGCCGGGAAATCTCACACTAATCCAGGCCACACAGAAAAAAAAACCTATTAGGGGTAAAAAAGGAACAAAGATGTCCTTTTACGAGTACTGCTACAGTGACAAGCTGTTGTTCCCCAAAAGGAACAATGTTGGCCCCTTTTTTCTGTATATAGCCTATACATCCACAACAATTTCTTAAACTACAGACAACCTTATTATTCGTATGGCCATCTCATAAAAGGTCTAAATCCTTAGTCTAAGCCAAGGCCATGGAAAATAATTAAAGGTTCTCTCTTGCACTGCACCTTCACTTCCCTTTTCTTCATTTTCCCCAATATCTCTGTCTCTCCCTTTTGTTTTTAAAGAAATTATTACTTTTATTTAGCAAGGATGCTTTAAATTGATCAAAAGTGATAAAGACGTATAATGTTAAAAAGTATTTCTAAATAGAAAGCAAAATAATATAAAGATTTGTAATACAAAGTATTTTTCCAAAATTAAGTTTTATTAGTGTTTTTGTGCCGTGACGGTGATACATACATACATATGTGACGTAGCCTCGCGCACTTACTAGAGTGTCTCATTCTAGCATTTAATGTCGAGGACGACTCTAGCCTACAAGACTCTGAAGGACTGAACTAGGAAAGGCGCAGCCTCGGTAGGATGCAGCCTTCCGTTTGAGAAACACCCATGTCGAGTACACACAGCATGCAGGGTAACCATTTACAATGTGGAGATTAATACAAATTTGAAATAATAAATTACAAAATGCTTAACTTCAACTTGTCTCTGTGTGGTTAATGGGGAAACATATCACCAGGGAACTGTGGTAGACATAACACGTTGTAATGACCACTGATATGTGCACCTATCTGCAATCAACACAAACCACATATCTTAAACCGTTTTATCAAATGTTATACGATAATGAACCAAACATAATTGTATCTTATGCCTGGTAAACTGTACCACTGTCAACAGAAACACGGAACCATAACTAACAAATGTAAAGAAACATAAGACAGTTGTTTGTATCGCGGTAGTGATGACGTCATCTTAGCACCCGTCATCACACACCACCACAGCTGTTAAATTTATTTGGTCATCTTTATTTCCTACATAATTTTATATTCTTCCAGTATGGTATTGTGGCCATCTCCTCTTCATCTGTTCATTATTTTTGTGAGCCTTCTTGCTGTTGGCTGAGTGGAAGTCAAATGTTAATTTCATTACTCTTAATTAAGAAATGCAACAGTTTGGATTATAGAACATTTAATTATGTGAAAAGAGCATTAGACTATGTGGAAAAAGCTGTAAAAAAATTTCTGCTCATTTAAAACAAGCTTTCTACAGGTCTGAAAAATTGAGAAATATTGCAATGTCTTGGAGAAATTATCTGGTAGAAGTCTAGAAGAGAAATTGCTCAAGGATTTTCTCATTTGAATCCCTATGTAATATGACAAAGGTGGCAACACAATGCATTATTAAGTGTCATACATTTTTTAAAATCTAAAGCATAGAATGTTCTTTGATTTCCTTAATGCAGCACTGTCCAATACGCCAATATAGTAAAGCATCATATTTAGATTATAGATTGCTAACATACACAGAATTTCCTTTTCCTTTTTTTTTTTTTGATCTGAAATGTATTGGATTGTGGATTGAACAGAAGATAATATTATAATATGAAATGGAGTACCAATACAAATGTAGAGAAAAGAAGAAACAGTTTTCTTGTTTTACTTTTGAATCATTATGGAAAGTCACACAAACACATTTGTGTGTTATGATCCCTATGGAGTTGTCTTTATTAAATGTGATGTTTCTTTAGTGGCTCTTTATTCACTGTCAACCAATCCAGAGAAGGCCAGACATCTAAAACCTGTAAGTAAAACACAGACAGTAAAATAAATTTAAAACAAACTATTGGCTCTATTAGCAAGAAATAATATAACCCCGTAATACATGGTGCCAACAATGCCCTTTTTAAAGGGGTGGTTCACTGGTTTTTTTTTAGGCTTGATTGTGTTTATGGGGTGCAGTCTAACACGTGTTAATGCTTAGTTTAAAAAAAAACAACAACATTATTTTTCACATAATTTACCATTATTCCACACCTCTCTGTCCCTTCTCTGAGAAACGGGCTGATCATTTCCTTCTTTTATGAAGCCCCTCCCTCAGAAATAGGCGATGGGCTCTGATTGGTTAGCTAGCCCAGTGTGTTGTGTTGTTGTCTCATACTTTTAGATATGCTGTTATTTGTAAATGCTACTGCTTATGTTAGCTTTTAATATAGAGTTTTATCCTGATTAAAGCTTTAATACAGTACGGCAACTGCACGCGCATTCATGTTTAACGCTTCTCATAGCTATGTGAAAATAAGTGTATAATTGGAATAGTTCATTGTTGGAGGTGAGCTGAATGAGAGAGAGAGAGAGAGAGAGAGAGAGAGAGAGAGAGAGAGAGAGAGAGAGAGAGAGAG